CCTGAAACTCTCAGACTGAAGAAGTCTCTTGGAGGAGAGACGAAACGTTTCATTAAAGAAGAACCCGTCCAGAAGACCTATACAATTTTTTTCTTTTTGACTTTAAAGTAATGTATTTTTGAGGGATTGTATGTGTGTTTTTTTTTTTTAATTGATGCCAGTCATCTGCTCTACTTCTATGTACCTTTCTGACCTGGTCCTGTTCAAAGCTGAACTTAAAACCTACTTATTTAAAAAAAGGCATTTGATGTTTAATTCTTAGCATTATATATAGATTTTTTTTTTTTTTTTACTTTTTATTGTAACTGTTTTTAACTTTTACTGATTTATTATGACCCGTTTTTAATTTGTTTTACCTTATGATGCACTATGGTCGATACAAGGCATTGTTGGAAGGTGCTATATAAAAAAAAAGTTGTTCATTTTTATCATTATTTTTAATATTATTATCATCATCATCATCATACAACAACAAAGATATTATCTGCATTGCCATTTGTTTTTCATCAAGTAAAATCCGCAAGAAAAAAAAAAAAAAAAATCACAGGTGTACAGATACCAGGACTGTTCTAATCCAGATTATTTTGGCTCCCGATACAATCTGATTTTTTAATGCTTAGTCTTTCTGATATCGATCAGATAGCTTTATGGTCTTTATTTCTTTCCAAGTGACAAGGTTGGTAGTATTAAAGCGAGCCCTGCTGTTCCCACCACGAGAAACATCCAGTTTGCAGATTTTGCAAGATGCAGTTTCAGCATCATTGTTTTCCTTTGAAAAGTGTTGCCACACTGTGGACATGGTTGCATACTCGTGCGCGTCTTGACTTAACAGCAGTTGTAAAGCATGATGATGAAAACTGTCGCCAAAACTGATCAGCCCGATCACATGACTAAATCCAATTTTACCCGATTTTCAAAAAGTGTCCATATCTGCCACTGATACCGAGTATCTGATCCCTAGCAGATACTGTACTGTTGCTTATACAGTAGATGTAGAAAAACACCAAAATATTTTTTTTATAAAACACAAATGGTTTGTTGTAACAGGGTTTTGAGTATTTACAGACCAAATATCAGATTTTTTTTGTCAGCACTGAATGAGCAACGATAAAACAGCAGCTTCAGTGCCTCCGTGTTAATTAAACCACCCACTGTTAAAAGACGTTACCGCCCACAGAGCAGGGACACAGGTCGCAGAGGAAAAAAAAAAAAAATTCACCTACACCCGAGTGGAGCCGCACTTGGCAATGGGAAAAAAAAAAAAAAAAAAAAAAAAAAACACATTTTGTGCACTCACTAGTGTTTGCTGGATTGCCTGAGAGGCAGCGCTGGATGTTCTCTGGCTCTCCTTGGCATCTTCCACCCTCTCCCTGATTTCAGGCAGAAGCAGCTTCAGCTCTTCCATCTCAGTTCTCTCCCCCGCTGCACCGTCGCCGTCCTTCGCTGCGTCTATGACCTCCTGCAGCATGGCTGCACGCAAAGGCAAAGCAGATTTAGAAACTTACAGCCGGACCAGAGGGTTAAACCAGTCCAGTACCGGTTATTATGAGCAACGCTCCTGAAATTAAACGTTGCAAACTAGATTCTGAAAGAAATCCCTCCTACCCAGACGGGTTTCGATGACCTTTATGGAGCTGTTGTAGTGCTGGATGGCCTGGTTGTACTGATCCATGTAGCAAAGGGTCGTAGCTACGTGGTAGTGGGTCTCAGCCAGCAGACGGCTGTGAGGCGGCAGGTGCTTCAGCTGCAGGGCAAGACACTCCTGGAAGTCCTCAAGTGCCTGGGGGTAGTTACCTGGGAACCAAAGATTACTTTAGATTTGGACTGGGGATGCATGATATGGCATTATCGTATCGGTCCGATAAGGAAAACTGGGCCGATATTAACGTCCGATATGGATTCCCCACTTTGCATTTGTTTTTGGAGGGAAAATGGTCCAAAATGGTACCAAAAAAGACCCAAGTGTGTTTTTGCATATGTATAATATAATTTGTATGTTTGTGGAATATTGGTAAATATCGGTTATCGGCCATAACACCAATAATTATATCGGATATCGATATCGGCTGAAATTTTCATATCGGTGCATCCCTATTAAAAATGCTCTCTGTCCGTCGGTCCATCCAATACAATGTCAAAGTCCTCCCCCACTCAGCAATGGGGAAAAAAAAACAAAAAACACTGGTTTCTTACAAAAAGCTACTCGTATACAGCCTCAGATAAATGGGACTCTAAAAGCAAAAGCCTACTCTGACCATCCAGACACGCTAAATGAGCAAAAATAAAAGCCTAATGTTGGGGTCTGTTGAGAATAATATCAGGGAAAAAAACAAAGCCCATCACTCRCTACCTGAGATTTGCCCTCCTGGATTTCTTTGCTGCTGGCACTAGAGTCACCGCTGCCATTAACTGTTGCTTCCTGTTTCTGTTGTTTAGCCTCTGTGTCCTTTACTGGGCTCTCCTCTTCTGGTTTTCTCTGTTCCGAAAACAAAACCAGGACATAAGAAAGAAAAAAAGGGGGGAAACTAAAGCACGCAGACGTAGAAATACACAACCTTTATTTTAAAATGAAAGGATGCAACTGAACAGGAAGGACATTCCTTTCATTACACACACACAAGTCAACCTCATACTTTCTGCCACAACAAGTCAGAACAAAGTCACAACACACACCTAAATCCATAACGACCTCCTACAACCACATAGACCAATCAGCACAAAGCGCACGCAATTATAAAGAACGGGTCAAACACAGTTTCCAAATTGCAGGTCTTACCTTTTTCCTCACGAGATGAGAGATGTTGGACACGGCTTTGGAAGAYGAGCTGCTGTCACACGCTTTTACTGGAATCTGAAAACACACGAGTTCGGTCCAGTTCGAGCGGCTCTGTGTTTAGTTGGACATGGAGGATTAAATCTGTGCTTTTACCTGGCTGCTTGTTGCAAACGCTGCTGATGACGATGATGAAGAGGGGCCACCATTTTCACACAGGAAGGCTGATGAAGTTGAGGCAGTCCCCTATAAGACAACAGTTTGTTAGGAAGTGTCCGACGTCTGTAAAAATGGCTAAAAGTGTAAAGCTAAATTAAAAAACACATTTCCCTGTTTATAACAAGGGACACTTTGGGGCGTGGGGTGCTGAAGCGTGTAGCAGTCACTGATTGGCCAGTGGAGCTACTTGAAACACACTGGATGATGTAATTTATGAGCATTCAGAGCGAGCTGAAAACGAGAGAATTTACTGGAGGTTTTCCAAAAGATGTGGAGTGTCGGTAGAAACTAAAAAACAAAACAAAAACAACTGGATCTTAGAGCAGTGAAGGACAACAGCTGGAGTGGCTCAAACTGGAGCTGGTTTGGGTAAATGGAGACCTACAGACAGCGTTCTGTCTGCTGCTAACTGGAGACTGGGACACATCTGAAGACGGCGAGTGCTTCATGCATTTTACTTGTGGGATACTTCTTGCTTGTGAAATTGTATTTTTTCTTTATAAAAATTTGTACCAACAAGTCTAACTAGTTAGCAGCTAGATGGCTAGTTACCAATCCAGGCTAAAAACAAACACCCTCTGCTCTACATTTATTGCATTTAGTAATTATGGCTGACCATATTTGAGGCTAATTTTTCTTTTTTTGGGTTCAGCAACACCTTTGACAAGTGACCAGCTGAGCTCCCGGGACGCTTCTCCACCTTCTACTGGCTGCTTCCCCATCCGGGTAGCTGCTCCAGTTACATCTGGACTTTAAAGTAATGTCCTGATGCATCTCAGTAATCCAGGTAAAAAAATCAAAAAGAAAAAAGAAAAAAAAAAAATTTGTATAGGTCTTCTGGACGGGTTCTTCT